ACGGTGGTGTTTCCAGGAAGGTGTGGAGTGAGTCAGGGAGGATGATGGGGGAGGGAGGGGGGCAGATGAGCACAACATTCCTTGACTGATATATGTGATACGTCTCCTTCTGATAGAAAAGATGTTACCAAGTCGTTTGCCTTTTGTGAAAACCGGCACGTGCTCATTCTCGCCTTTAACAGATCTCACGTAGGTGGACTGTAGGGCTCTGTGGAAAAGGCACTTTGTTCTCACAGCGGCTGCCCATTTGTTCTGGTTGTGCTCATAATGGGATGCAGCTTAAAGTGGAATGAAAATGTGTAGATTGCAGTTTCTTTTCCCCGTTTGAGAGTTATTTAGCTGTGCTAAAGCCGTTAGATGTGTGTGATTATATGTAAAAGGGCAGAACAGGATGTCCCATTGTCATTTCCTCCACTTAACACAGTATTTTTAGACATTTCATGCAGTGTACAAATTAATCGCACCGCAGGGGAAGTCTACAACATCGAGGCTCGACCTCCAGCTTCAAAAAGTTGACAGATGAAAATGTTTACTTAAACATTATGTCAAAAACCGAGTCGGCAGAATGTGTCCTCATTACAACCATTTCCTGCACTTCCTGCTGAAGCGAGTCCTCGGGCCGAGCCCCGCTCCGGCACATTGGCACTCAGGCAGCACATCGCGCTGGCACAACGCCTCGCTGAGTCACATGTTTCCACACAGCGACCACGGCTCCACCTCAGGGCATCGGTGTTCCCCACACCATTAAAGAGATGGGTTGGGCTTCCCCACCTTCTTCAGGTCTCACCTTCACATAATTGGATTTAAGTAGAACTGGTTTATTATTACTTGTGTAACGGACATTTTTGCCTTGAGTCTTGGTTCCCCTCTGTGTGGAGTTTCGTTATGTTCCTGTGGCTCCTCGGTGTGAAGATATGAAACGTTCCAAGATTATTCCAGCTATCCCCCCCTCACTCCCCTTTTCCTTCTATAGATCTCTATATACACGTGTGGGTGTTTTCATGTGAGTGTTTAGCGATCAGAAACGTGTGACGTGTAAATAGCTCAATATTTCTGCCACTCCTCATTCTTCTGGCTGCAGATAAAAAAACTATTAGTTTGAGTTTGTTATGTTGACTGACTGTAGTTGTGGTTTTCCGACACTTTCACAGCACAAAAACAACCTGGTTTATTATTCATTCCGGTGACAGATACAGAGCAAAAATACATGAAATGCAGTGAATGATTATAATCACAAACCACATTTTAGACAAATGTATCACATACCATTTTTTTTTTTTTTTAAACTACATTTTTAAAGCGTTTCTGTTTTTTGGATGTTCCTATCTTGGATCAGCCTAATTCTGGGAACTTGTTTTGACATACGAGAGATAACCGTTGGTGTTACTAACACATGCCGACAGACGGAAGAACATGTTTATAGTACACTAGTATTAACTCCCGGTCATGTTGATGACTTAATCACCTTCAAAAGGGAGATTATTCCGGTTCAGCCTCCACTCCTTGTGGGATTTAACAGAAGTTATCTAACGTGCAAAGGTTGCGGCCTGGAAAATCTCTGCGTTCTCAATTAGAGGTGTTGTCTGTATTAACGGACAGTGTCAGTGTGGTTTGAATAGTGAGCATTTTGCACAGAGCTGCTGCGTTGTTCCGTAGCTGTTCACTTAAAAAGAAAGTTCAAATCGGGAATTTCACCTGGCTTGAAGTGTGTTCAAGTTATGATGTGAGAAAAACACTGAAAGCCCAACAGCTCACCGGCAGTTTAAGTAAGCCGAGAGTTATGCACGTGTTTAAGTGTCAACGTTACTCTGCAATGACCGCCGTAAAATATTCTGTCGCCATGGCAACACCGCTGTCCACCAGGGAGACAAACAAACAAGCAAACAAAGTGTCTGCACGAAACACCTGCTGTCTCTCTCTGTTTCTCACAAGAACAATGTGGGACTTGAGTCAATCCAAGTTTAGCAGAGTACGGTGTTATTTCGTCTGGCTCGCTCACTTCCTCGGCCCGTGAAGTTCAGGAAGGGACACAGTAGATCAGATCCAGGGACCAAACAGCTGGTGCAGCTCAGCGAGTGGAAATAAACCTACATTTCTATTATAAATGATTAAACTGCAACAACTATTTTGGTAAGGTAGAAGAACAATAACGGTGAAAAAAGAGCAACTTAATAACTAAAAATATCTGAACCTAACAACCATGTGATGAATAGTGTGATGAGAAAGAATCGCTACTTCCAACATCCGCTCCGGAAAACACGATCGTGTTGTCTGAAATGGTTGTTGATAGGGGCACATGCACAGGGCACGGCGGTTTGTTTTAGGCCCCATCGGAGCCATTTCCTGTCCCAGCGGTTCAACGAGAATTTAAAAATGAGATGAGAGCCCAAAACCTTGTGTCTGTGAATCAGCACAAGTTAAAGACGCAGTCTCTCCTTTAAATTGTGAGGGAGGAGTCTGTTCAAACTGTACACTTATGGTCACCATTTCAATATGACTATATTCTACAGACATGTTTGTGTGCAGAAAAAGAGACTAGATACTATCCATGCTAGATGTGCCCTGAAATACGTGAAATCAGCATGTGTTTTACTGAGGCCTCCCATCTTACTGTCTAATTGGAGCATCTCTTCTTCTCTGCTGTATTTTAAGTCATGCCAACAGGGAAAGTACCTGACGCGCACCCCACAGACACGCACAGGTTCGTATTCAAGCCACGTAATCACACACTGCGGCAAACAAACATAAATATGGTGAAACTCACATGTGCCTGGACGCTGTGCGTGAGTGTGCACGTGTTTCATCCTGAAGGTGCTCTCACTGGAATGCTCTGATCTGGGTCAAATGTTGACTTGGCATTTTTGGATGTTTTGTGTGTGTGTGTGCGTGTCAGTGTGTGCGCGTGCACCATTAGCTGAACAAATCTGCCCTTTGTGGTAGTGATGGGGGCGGCAGGCTGCCAGGGAGACAGATAATACCGAAGTAGTTGGTGACTGAGGGATTTCAACCAGAGGCCGTTTCACCTCAGCGACGCAGCCGGTTGTGGCGACAGGAACGTGAACATGTACGTCTCTCTGTGAATTCATCATCTCATGTGTTTTATTAGTATTTGGTGGACAGGACTTACTGTACTTGTCAATCACAGATCAATTGGATTTTTAGTTTTCTTGTTTTTTATGCTGTTAAAATATTTATTTGCATTTCAGTGGTCAAGGTAAGTCCTCTCTCGCTCTCTTTACTGTAGATGTTAATGCATTAGCTACAATGTCAGTCCATTACAAGGAATTTAATATGTTAAATAAAATAAATATTTATAGTAAAGATATACAGTAGATATAGAAATACTTGTTAGATGAAATGCCAATGTTTATATTAGGTATACCACTAAAGTTTCTATTCACACATCATTTATTATTAATTACAATAAACGAATATGGCTTGTGTGAAAATACATCACATCAGAATACCTTTGATTTCTTTATTAAATTAAGCAGTACAGTAAAAGCTGCCATTGTGTTGACGTCACATTCTCCTGGCGTTTCATTCCCCTTACATGTCTATAGAAGCCAATCTTCAAACGGTTCCTTTACCATTTTATTCCTTTGTTTCTGATTTCAGAGGCTTTCTGCACTTTTATTGCCCCTTAACACCGTTACAGCCCTACAAAGGAAATGGAAAGCAACAAACTTTAATTAACACAAAACGTAACATCTTTTAAAGACGGTGCTGTAAATGAAACGGTTTTATGCTTTCCACGTGTTGAGGTTTGTGTTTTCTTTTAGCCGACCAGCAAACCCCCGGGTTCACTGTGCAGCAGGAGAAGGCTTTATAGCCCCCGCTTACTTCGGAATGTTTAAACAGTAAAGTTAAACAAGAGAACGCGTCCACACTGCGGATTGAGGCAAATGTGATGCATTGTTTTGGTCACAAACACGCGTCTTGTGATTGTGTTCTTTGTGCATATTTATTCCTGTATTATGATGCGAGAACCGCCGCCGGGGTCAACAAGTCAGAAAGCTACACGTTAGCTTCAGAAGACTCACAAAGATGATTCCTCCACTTGGTGTAAGCCGGACTTCAGAGGGACTCAGTCACCAGGACAACAGCTACATTTCACAGTACAATGTGTGGGAAAACTGGGCAAACAAAGCAGGCGGTCCCGCACAGACCTGAACACATCGCCGCTGCGTCACCGCACACACTTCTGCAAGTGATTAAACCCAGCGGGACAGGAGGCCTCAGCACCCTCCTCCTTATTTACTGACAGCTTTGGAAGTGTTCACCTGTGTGTGCGTGTGTGTGTGTGTGTGTGAGAGAGAGAATGTGTACCCAACAAAGCATTGACCTCAAGCAGACTATCCCCTCCCCACAACTGCACCCCCCAGGCATAAGCGTGTCTTTACATGACACTAATGCTACCCGTCTCCGTTCCTCCCCTTGAGTACCCGGAGAGAAGACAAAAGACAGGACCTTTAGTGCCTCTCCTTCCCCTTCTCCTCTCTACCTTTGGCTGTGCTTCAGCATCAAAGTCCTTTTTCATATCTTCTTCTTCATCCGTTTAAAAAGCAGTTACGTTTAATGTTTACAAATTCATCTACTGCCCGTATTCATGGTTTGGTTTCTCAAAGAAGCCCTCATTATAGCCAATGTAGCATTGCATTTTGCTCTGTATTTATAATAGAATTCATTCTCTTCACTGGCATTAGTTGTACGATGCTCAAATCACTTGCTGGATTTTTGGGGGTTGAAAATAACTTGAAACGGTTTATACAAACCAAAATAATCCCCAAAAATAAGTGTGCAACACAGCTGCTCCCTGCAGCTCACCTGCGAGAGAGGGGCCCGATATACTGAGGCTTCATTTACTTAAAGACTCCATGGAGACTTGAACATGGAGCCAGAATCAACTAGATAAATGGAACAGATAAGGTCTAACTATGTGTGTGTGTGTGTGTGTGTGTGTGTGTGGGGAGGGGGGGGCGCCTGTCTGTATGTGGTACCTCTCCTCCTCTCTCGCTCCTGGAGGAGGCGTAGAGAAGTGAGAAGGTGCAGGCGGTGAAGGTGATTGTGGACTCCAAGCTCCAAGAGGTCATACTCCGAGAGGTGGAGCAGGTCCTGGAAAACACAAAGACACAAAGTTAATGCACTGACCCGGTTCGGGGCTGGAACAACACAAGGTTTTATTTGCGTTGCTTCTTTACTGATCTTTAAAGTACACCTTTCAGCCACACGAGGGAGCCTCAGAAATGACTTTATTCTGAAAAGATCGTATGCATCTGAAGAGCCGAAATTGACATGCATTGATAGAAAACGCACAAAATTTGGTTCCCTTACTTTTGTGTAGAGAAGTGCAAGTTCAATCTGACAACGTTACTAATAAATAAACATCAATTCAAAAAACGATGATAAAAAGCATTGAATGTCTCTCAAATCTCAAACACTTTTTCCTTTTTAAGCCTGCCAACAATTAATTGTGTCAATGTCACTCCCCTGCGCAAGATTTTGATTTCTTATCACGGGAGTCTCAACACTGTTTCCACTTGTCCTCCTTTTTGACAAAGACATTTTTTCTCAGCAGTTTGTGCACGAAGAGAAGCCAAGTGTATCTTAATGGTGTATCCAGGCCTGTGTCACTATGGGGTGACATTCAGAACACAAGGACATACGGATTGAAGTGCCACACAGGAAAGACACTACTTTTGTGCTTCGTAAGCAACAAACAGTTTGTCTAGACACCTTGGTGGCTCCAGAAGAGCAAAAGAAAAATTGCTGTCTTCCAGAAGTGTGTCATGTCCTCCCCTCATCCTGCGCCTGTCATTATAGCATTGTCTTAGACACACGCACACACAAAAAACACACACCCTGCCTCACTTTGACGCTCACTATGGTATTAATGTAAACGACCCCTCACATGGCCACAAAGTCTTTGATCCAGAGCTCAACCTTGTACATGAATGGAACACACACACACACACACACACACACACACACACACACACACACACACACACACACACACACACACACACACACACACACACACACACACACCTCTCCCAGCTCCAAACCATGTTGTTTTGGTTTCTCAACAATACGCACATTCTCTACGCACAAAACAATAGCTCAAATAAGACTGTGCAGGGTGAAACCATGAACATAAACACACAGTGTAGTCAAATTACAGTCACTCTCAGTCATGGGCAGAAAGTTAATAGTTACAAACTCCTGCTCACACCTACATACCAAAGCCATCCCACTCGCACACATTTGTGAACACACACACACACACACACACACACACACACACACACACACAGAAGAGGAAGATGACACTTAGTTCTGCGGAGTGACACACGCACACCACAATGCTGATTGTGTGTGTGTCACAAGCCTATAATCTATCTCAGAATCTGTCTCTCCTCCCTCTGTTATTCTCGTCTCCCTCTGCGTGCAACAGCAACCTGACATGTTTTCCTTTTTTCTTTCTTCTCCAGAACAACAGTAGGATCCCTCATACGAGTCCTCTCGGAGCGTTGACAAAGCCGTTGTGAATGTTGGTTTTGCCCTCGTGAATGTTGTTGCAGCCATGATGGTGGTGGTGAGCGGTGTGGTACAGGCAGCACCGGCCAGAGAAGATGTTGAAATGAATCTGGGAGTGTTTTTCAACAGCTCTACAGAGCTTTTAAAAGCTATTTTAAGTTTTGGTATTTTAGCGTAGTATTGTGTATTTTAGTGAAGAAACCTTCATATGCCAGAAAGACTTTTGATCACATTCCATCCATGTTTACACACAATGTTGTTGTTCATCATGCATCATGCCGTAAAGGTATTAAAACAAAAGGATTTAATTGAAAATTGGACAGCCAGGATCTTCGGTTATCAGAGGTGCAAAACACCCCGTCTCTCGCCCGAAGTTGGCTGGGATTGACTCCAGCCCCCCCGCGACCCTGTGTGCAGGATAAGCAGTGTGAAGATGGCTGGATGGATGGACGATATAATATGCACCTGATATTACATTACTTTATAAATGTCAGACGTCCCGTCTGCATGAATGGTGATAAAACGTGCGCTCTTCTCTTCCTCCAGAATGTCAACCGCAAAACCAATGTTTGCCCTCGCTGGAGCTTATTGGCTAAATTGTATGTCACACATTGTTTTTATTTAATCAGCAGTTGGGGATAATCAGATGAAGCCCCTTCCTGGGTTTGCACCCATGTAACTCAGCAGGAATGGGATCTATACAAACAAACAGTTTACGCAGGGTGCAATATTAGACACTGATGAACCTAATTGAGACATTTGCTCAAACATCTGTAGGGATAATCCTGTTCTCCCAAAATATTGTAGGGATATGTCCCCTTTATCCTTATGCAAACCAATTAACTTGGACATGATTTTACTACAAAAGTAATTTATTTCAGTGCACAGTAACATTTACTGACGGATTAGGTCAGTTAACTTTAAGGGAGAACACTTCACAAAGAAACTTCCACCAAAACTTAATTATGGTGAAAAAACACTTTCTTGTCCTTGTTTTCTATGTATCTCCCTCGTTGCGCCTTTCACCTTCTTCCCCTTTTCCCATTAAGCCTTCACTAATTACACCAATGCATTGTGGGTATGCATTAGCACGAGGTAATTGAATAATTCATGTTATTGGCTAATTAATCTCATCTCCCGGCTAATGGCTGTGTAGTGTTCCGACTGAAGTTGGCTAATGGCTGGATGTTAAAATAGCCCCTAAATCATTGTGCATCCAGTCTAATAGGCCTAAGATTAAGTTTTATTAGGCGGCAGAATCAAGCTGCTGTGGGAAACACTTAACAAAAACACTTTGCACTCCTACACAAGCAAACAAAGCACCATAAGTAATTTAGGTAACATCTTTAATATGAGGCATGAATTAAATGGTTGAGGCCAAACAATTCATTTCTACAACGTAAATGACTGAATGACACCCGTCTCCTTCGCACATGCACAACCAAGAAGAGACTGAGAAAGGGACGGAGGAGGTCTAGGTTGATGAAGTTGAAGTTTTCTGTTCTGTAACTCTATTAGACCTGCTTTTTTGTGTTTAATAGGGAATAACTGCTTGTGTAAATGTCTCTTTAGGTTTTGTAGGTTTGTTTGTAGGTCTTCATGCATTACCTCCACACCGTCATATTCCTGCTCCAGCGCTGGGCAGTATTCTGGCAATCCCAGCTGGCTCAGCCATCGAGAGATAGACTGATGCTTCATGGTGACACACATGCACCCTCACAGGCAGGAAAGGAGACGCACACACAATCCTCCACTCGCACGACTTGCAGATGCAACCTGGAACACAGAGATGGAAGAGAAGAACTATTTAATTTAGATGGTCGTCAAACCCAAGCAGGTAAACACAATAAGAAATGAATGCCAATGAGACAAATTTTGAAACGGTTTGTGCAATTACTGCATGTAATCTTATTAGAAAAATGAGAGCCAGATAAAATAGAATTACTCATCTTCTCTATGCTATGTGTCCTTTCACTTGCAATGGCGGTGGAATCTTTCTGTTTACCTCTAGCTGGCAATTGGAAAGTACAACCAGACATGAATGATACATGTTCACAGACTCCCTTTAGGGGGGTCTGGGAGGAGGAACTTTGAACCGTAAGCACAGACCACATGTGGGAGGTTTCACTGTATGAAATATCTGAGCCGTTACAGTCTGTTAAAGACATTAATTGATACTTTGCAAGGCCGTTGACACGCTGTCCTTCCCTCCTACGATACCAGACTGCAAAGATCATCTGCAGGTATTTGTTGAGTCAATTTCCTAAATGTGAGTTTGGTAATTTATTTTTTAAAGTTTTGTTTTCGAATTTGCACTAGAAAATTGGCATATTCCCATTTAGAAACGGGCAGCATTTAGAGTGGATGAAGATGCTCTTTTTTTTGTACAACATTCACAAGACTTGAAAAGAGGGCCGTTTTCTGTGTGTGAGAAAATGATGGGATCTATTTCCCCTGAGAGGCAGGTCTGTACCTCTGTAGCCAAGTCTTGTTCTTTATCAGGCTGAGAGGCGATTAGGAGAAACACCCAAGGGGTGACGATGTCTCAGTCTCGACGGAAAGGCTGATACTGAGGACCGAGCTCTGTCTGTCATCACGACACGGCCACAAGACATGAAACAGAATGTACAGAAACAACACACTGAATAAGAGCTGCTTTCAGCCTCTCACACTGCTGCTGATTGCTTTTTACTTTACTACAGCAACATACGTAATGACAAAGGGAGAAAATATAAATGATGGAACTCCATGTCAAGATGCATCTTGTATCATGGATGCATAGAGAGTTTGTGAGCAAAATCTGCTGAGTTTAAACTGGCTCCACTTGGAAAAATCCTGTTAAGTGAATTGGCAGGGAAACTATATTCAGTATATTTGCTGACAGGAGAGAAGAGGGCAGAACAGAAACAAACGTGTCCTCCTAAGTTTGGGAACGTGGCGAGAGCAGGTTTTTTCTCAAGACATTGATCCATAAAATACATTTTCTAATAAGTTAATTCAGTACCGTTAGCTAATCATTTCCCCCGATGGGCGAGTATAGATATTGAGAGGGTGACTGCCACAGTACTTTACTGCAAACAGAACACAAATGCATATAATATGAAGGTACATCTTCATTGCACTAACCTATCAAATCTCTTTTTAATTAATCTACTCTTACAACAAGCAATTGGCATGCAGCACCCATCCAGTAAAAACTAAACTGGAATTCCGTTTGAAAGACAGAAAAGGCGTTTCTGCACTAAAAAGAAGTGAAGAGCTGCTTTAAAAAATAACATTTTATATTCTTCTGAAATGCTGACAGTTTCATAAGCTGCAACCCTTCAGAATATGTGAAATGTATGTAGATAACATTGTTCCGGATCAATAGAAAACAAATTCATATTGATAAAAACCATAATGACTTGTCTGCTGTATTTGAGTGCCTGTATATTAGCATCATTGTGTGTGTGTGTGTGTGTTACGTGAGTAAGCATGTAGCGGGTTGTGCTGCCATGACGCCTTATGCATGTGTGTGTTTGATTTTGTGTGTGCGGTAAAGACAGAACAACAAAGACCTTGTCAGGCAAAGAGGCGTTCACTAAGCACATGCAGTCCCCCCCACACACACACATCCTGACCCCCCCCACCAATAACATTAAGTGATGTCACAGAGATATACATGCTTTCACTGACTAGCACTGAAGCTGGTTAGACCCGAGGATCCATCTCCCCACACACACACACACACACTTCTCTCAGTCATATCAATCTAATCTAGGAGTTATGAGTGTGGCATCATATGGATTAGCGGAGTCGTTCATTCAGTATATGGAGTCCTGCCAGTGTGTCGCACTATTTAACCTAATGGAGAAATTGAGGTTGTTCAGGAGAATGAATGACCTCTAAGTCCCGGCAGCAATGAGCTTATTCACAGTGACGTCCTGTATCGAGTACCAGGCGGATTCATGTCTGCACATGATGTTGATGTTATGTTGATGAACTGGGTGTTTGGTTTTAGCAAAGTAGTTCACACACACAATTATGCAAGCACTTATACATATGCATAGATGGAGCATCGTTGGCGTTATATATTGGCACTGATCTTATGTCAGATATAAATGATGCTGATGTTGCAAATATGCGCACTAACATACCTCGTCTTCATCTCTTAATGCCCCCTCCATCAACTGAAATGTTCTTCTTAAAAGCTACTGGAGGTCATTTTGATTGATTAATACGTTAACCTGCAATGTAATAAACTACTGTTGAACCGTGCTTACAATAATAAATAGTAGAATTAGAATCAAAGGACCTTACAAATGATTCTTCTGTCAAATTAGTCAAGACCTTTATACATATGTTGCATCCATCGGATATTTCTCTGCGTGGTCCCTATCAATAAACTAACAATTAAAGTGTTGTCTCTTATATACTGTAATGTTTCAAGTTAAGACTAAATTAAACTGCCAATGGTAAAGGTTTTTACAAAAATCCCACATTTCAGCCACAATGACATGTTTCTGTTCCTTTGAGCCGAGTATTATCTATCTATTTCAGAGTTTCACTTATCCCAAAAGGTGCCGTCCCTGTGATTACTGGAAAAATGTGGCATAACGCAGCAAAGTGAGACCCGCGTTGGCCCCACCCTGTCTGTCTGTGGCTCCCAATCCACTGCACGCGGACATCAGGGCCGTCAACGGCATCTTTCAGCCAGATGATCCGCGTCGTTAAACAGCTGTATGTCATTTTAAAGTGATAAAGCTTTCTCCTGCTTTTGTGAGCGGTTTCTCTTGTAAAACGCACCCGATGGGCTCCACGTGCCGCGTTGAAAAGTGTTGAAAGATCACAGAACCTTTTTCCAGACAAACAAATCAATTTGAAGACTGTGTGGAGGGAAAGCAGTTTAAAGGAGTTAGGAAGCGCTTGCTTGGGAAAAAAGGAAACCTTTGCGTTTGTTGCATCTCACACGAGAAAAAAAAACATGCAAGAAATGCCTGGGGTTCTTTTTCTGGATTAAAAACAAACACTGGTTTGACCCTAAAAATAAACCAGGCCAAAGCGAAGGGTCACATTGTGTGTAACTGCTTTTTACAGCAATGTTTTCTTCTGTTTACGAAGGAAGGCCGCATGCTCGTACACATTCCCAATGCTGCTGACGGGACAAGAGAAGAAGAGGTCAGCTCTGGTGAGCACAAAAGACGTGAGAGTATTCCTAGTTGATCCCCATACTGAGAAATGAACCCGTGCTCTCGGCCCTAGGGGCTTCTTCTTCCTGTCCAATCCAACTTCCTCTGTAGTTTGACCTCAGCTTTTTCCCATGGTCACGTTTCTCTGGAGCGCGGTCACTGTGCCCATTGAACTAAATAAATTGAACGATCCCAGCATCACTAAATGAAACGGGCCCGGCTATTTGACAAACACTCAACAAATAACAAAGCGTACTACGGCAATTACATAAGTCAGGAGCAACACGGGAGGATCCTTTTGCCTTTTGCCAGTCACTCTCGATGTCTGCATTGGCTGCCTTCTACAGTCCAAGGGCATGCGCCTTGCCAATCACATTAGACTGACACAATCCAACAAATTGAATTAAGCTGCAAAAATAAAATCAGCATCACCACCAAGGCAATTCCAGCCTGTGTTATTGAGCACGCTGATTGATCATTTTAAATGAAGGACGCCACGCAGAGAGAAGATGAGACAATTTTCACTGCGGTACGGTTCACTCGGGCCACTGTGCTAATAATCTAGTTTGCATGGACAGTATGTTGGCTTCCGATTTGTCCTACAGCTCGAAAGGACACATGAGGATACATGCAAACTCACGCCAGCTGGAGTATTTCTCATTCAATATCAGCCATAAAAGCACACATTGTTACTAGCAGACAACATTGCACCACAAATACTAGGATGCGGCTGTTGGAGCAGGCAGGTTTTGAGCTCAATATCATTATAATCACATTTTTCAGATATGGCTTTATGGCTGTTCAAAAATCACATTAAATACTTGAATTTCATGACACAAAATATATAAGGAAACGTTTGCACTGTGCCTTTAACAGATGCCAAAAGGTACAGTGAAAAGAAACCACAATTTGCTAGAATTCATTAAAACTTTTGTCTACAGTAAAAATAATTACCAAATCACCAAAACAACACTAAAAGTTGATCCATTACTTCAATATTGAATTTCAGCTCATCCTTGGTGAGTGTAAATCTTTCAAAGGACACATGAACAATCGAGAGTTTTACATCGTATCTCAAGTCTCTCCCTGTAGTGGTTCTTGCCGTGAGAACATGTCTGAAGCTGTCTGGATGTTTGCACCTCTGGATTTCAGTAGCAAAAGAAGCAGCTGGAATACCGACAGACGGTCAGGTTAGACACTGAGTAACAAGGCAGTAATCTCAGGGCTCATTAAACACGGAAGAAAACATCTTATTTGTGGGTAATGCCGGATGACTTATACGCGCGCTACAGGCAGACGGGTTTATTATCACACTGCACCACAACACCAGCGGTTTTCATGTGGGTTTGTGCCTGCAGAACTTCTGCATTTTTTGTATCCCAAACTAATTCAAATGTTCCCTCAGAGGCTTTCCTGCTGCTTTATTGGGTGTTTAAATACGTGTCTCTGTATTTCTTTTACATGTCCGGAGGGAACAGCCAAATAAGGGAAATACTTTGGCAGTGTAATTTAACCCCATCAAATTCATTTTCTAGTCTTCTAGTTCTTTACTGTGTCTTTGAGGGAATGAACCCTCATATTACTCAAATCACTAGTCAAACACTAATTAGTATAATTGAGTCTGCAAATCAAAATAGTAAAAACTGCAGTTTTTTTATCTCCAAGATGTGTTTCATCTTAAACACTGCTTGGCTCTCCAAACTATTTTAGGGGCTGTGAGCCAACACGTTTCCACAGCACTTTGTCGGCCTATAAAGCATAACCCGTTGGATATGCAGAGAATCTGTTGCAACTAGTCATCACTCGAATGGAATCAGTTTACGTCTTTAAAAATGGGTAAGAAGTGATGGAGACTGTCACAACAAAATGAACACTGCACTATAGTGTAATCTTAAGGTTATTTCCTCTGCTCCTATTTTAAACACACTCACAGGAGCATGTGTGAAGACAATTCACACTTTTTGATGAAATAGCACCGTATGAAATGATGGTGGCTGAGAGATGGGAGATGGCAGGAGGAGGGAGGTATAATTTGCATGAGTCAGCTCTGAGTTAAGGGCATTCCTTCAGGGAACTAACAGCACAGCATCGGTTTATCTGAAGGAACTATGGAGGTCTAACGTGGCAACAAAGGGTCCCCCAACCTCAGAGGGACTTTCTTGCAAAACTGACTTTGTCTTACAACCCCTTTTTTTAAATCTTCGCCTGATTTGAACTGCACCAAATGAATTCCCTGTTGCGAAAAAAGCGCATCGTCTAAAACGTGCGTCCTGCAGGGTGAAAGGCGGGAGGCATCTTCACACGTCCACAAATCAAAAGACGCCAATCGCCGTCAGTTGATAGTTGAAAGGTGCGTCTTACCTTGCAGCCAGCGGACTCCTGCGTGCAGCGTGCAGCGTGCACACCGCACGCGCGGCGGTTGTGGAGCTTCGTCTTTGCTGATAACTGGAGGTGTTCAGTCCACGAAGGGGCCGCGACTTCAGCGTCCGTCGACACCTGCGAGAAAAAGACCCTTGAATTACCTGTCAGCAGAGAGAGGGAGAAAGAGAGAGGAGAGAGAGGGGGGGGAGAGAGAGAGAGAGAGATAGGGGGGGGGGGTCTGTTTCATCGGGACATTTGGCTATTTCCAATGTCATGCAGGCTGCAGCGGGATTCGGACCTTGTTTGAAAACGAATTCCTCACTTGGTATTTTTCACTACACTACTACTTTGCCTCTATCATATCATAGATGCATTTTTGAACAACACATTTTATTTATAATTTCTCTAGATTTTTTTATGCTTTCTAATGATGTCACTCGCACATTCCGTGCCCATGCTGAAATGTGTCCTTTAGTAAGCAAGGGTCGATCACTAATTAGCATTACCAAGTTTTTTATTCTTTTTTCCAAAGGCAGGCGATCTAACGGCACCGATCACTGGCAGAGTGCGCCCCCCAGTGGACTGATGAGGAAGAGCAGCTACTTTTATAGGAATGCAAGTTGTGTCTTTTTGTAATTCTCACAATTGCGAAGTGTTTCGGCGGGTCGCTCTGGACCCCCCCGGCGGGCCGGATTCGCGGGCCTTGCGTTTGACACCCATGGACTAGATGATCTGGGGTAATATTTTGAATAATTATTAAACGTGTAGTAATATTATCAGTTACTTTATGACTTGATTCACTACTTAGTCAATCAATTTAGAAAGAAATACATCTACGGCATTCTGGTGTACACGCCACTGTGTCTGTTTTAATAGAGCATGTTAACAAACATGTATTCGTTCATTGTTTTGGGCTCTACTCGCGTGTTGCCTTCACAACTATTGCAATAAATAAATAAATATGATGAGGTGTAAGGCAGCAGCACTGGTCATTATTGGTACTGGAGGATTTAGGACACCAGCTTTCCCTCAGGCCAGACATAACAACCCACGTGGTGTTTAAATAACCTGATTTTGTCTCACAATGTGGAGCTTTTAGCCGCATCATAGTAAATAATATATTTTGTTCTTTATTGGCAGCTAAACGAAAGTGTCAATTTAGAATACTTAACATGTTAAAGCAGGGCTGTAGTTCTCCACCTTGTGTAAGTGAGAACACGATTATTTGTTTAAATAAGGGATGTAACACAAAATCATCTTTTATTTACCCCCCAAAAAATGTGTGCATGTGCAGCCAATTGGTGCAAGTTCATCCTCTCCACAGGTGTGCTATAAGCTGTTGAGACACATTACTTCTTTTACCTGGAGCTATGGCTGCTACCGGGAACCAGATGAATAAATACATTTTTTCCGACTTCCACTGGATGCACTGGATGAGGAGGGTCCACCCCGCTGCGCGCTGTTCTCAAAAAGGAACCTACAACTTTTCAATATCAGCCCTACTGGCAAAAACACAACAACACAGCATGTTGCTCCAAGTCTATTTATCAGCTTTATTGTAGTAAGCCTAACAAACATCATAACATCTGCAGACACATGCAACCGTGTCTCTCATCCATGACTGACTCCCTGGTTGTAATCTACTGACCTCATCTGGTATTTTTCAGAAACTCAAGTCAATTGGATGTAAACGTGTTCCATTCTGCTGATCAGATATGAAAAAGACTGATTTTTCACATTTTTAGTGGATAACAACACCTTCTGTAGCCGGTGTTGATGCTCCCCTCATTTTGAACTGGTCCCACATAATGGACTATAAAAATGTTACTACAATTACTACAATTACTACAATTCAGGTCAGAGAAAGACAAATTATTTTGCAGCAGGCTGAGCAGTCATGGTTCTAAAAGGCTTGCGTGTGTTGCAGAGCAATTCACCGCTAGAACAACAGGCGGAGTGACGTGTTTTAGTTGAAGACGACCTAGAGAGTCACATCTATTTATTTATTTGTTTGTTTCTTTATCATAGACTTTATTGCCCCGTGCATCGCCACTGCTGCTTTTCATCGCAGACACATTTGTCCCGTATTTTCCTCCACAACTTTGCGCACCTCTCGACCGGCAAACCGGCGTTTGCGGCGATCTCCCTCCGTGAATCAACCCGCTTCTACAACCCGCCAATGACGGCTTGTATAAGCGGTCATATTTACGCATTTCTTCCGACAAAAGTTCTGCAATCTGATCCGTTCTCTCGAAAACATTCTTCGTTTTAATAATGGCGGTGTCGGGCTATGAAAGCGGAAATATGAGACTCCGCAAAGGACGTAGTTAGCGGACCAATCGCAGCCTGGTGCGCTGCGGGAGGCCTAGAAAATGTCTCGACACACGCAAGGACGCAACGAGGTGTGAAAAGTCACGCAAGGGACACGCAAGGGGGTCTCAAAGGAGGTCGCTCTGAAAACGCAGAAGCATAAACTAGGTTTAACCCTCATTGTTTTTAGCGTCTGTGTTTCAAAATTTTAAATTCAAAAATTAAGTAGAACTGACATTTTATCTATCAATAGACATTGTAACTTAATTGTAACCAAAATCAAAGATCGAGGCACCAAAAACAAAAAAATTCATCATCTTCCAAGTCCATCTCTGAGCTCACACAAATTGTGTGAAACATTTTGTGGCAGTTGTCACATTGAACCCACAACACCAACCCTTCTGGATCCTTTGGAGGGTAAGGCTGTCTGCACCGTCCACATCGCAACAGCTTCTTTTCCAACCGTTCCTTCTTAGCAGCTTGGTAGGCTACTGGGAGAAAAAGAAAATGGGACAGGTGTGAGGAAACTGTTCAGTTTTTACAAGTGAAGACTGTTGGGCTCACATACCGGTGGAGGTTGTAGGTTCAGCAGTTGAGGAAAGGGAGGCAGGAGACGAGGGAGCTACAGCCATGAAGGAGGTCCGCCAAAGGTTGGAAGCTGTGCAAATGAAGGGAAAAACATGACTTGGCTAAAATGTTTACTGTTTTCATTCATTATTGCTGATGTTTGTACCACGTTTAAAGTGTTGTTCAAAGTGTGTTACAGATTTGATGAAGTATGTCTAATGATAACAGTAAGGAAACGATAGCGAAAGGCCGGGAAAGGACCTCAGGACAAATATATAAAAAAGGAAATGCTTTCTCCATCAAAACACCTAATGGAACTTTACCGTCGTCAACTTTATTGGAAGACAAGCTCATGTTGGTTGAGGCGCGTTGGGATGCAGAAGTGGGATCACACGGGCCTGGAGGACCCGCGGCACCAGGACTTGTAGCATCTGAACGGACCTTGCGGGGCCGTGGTCTTTTGCCGCCGAGACAAGAGCCCCCGGGAAAGGTGGAGGAGGAGACCGCCAGGTCCGTGTCTTCCGCTCCCCGTCGCGTCGCACTTCTGGCCTCCGCTCTTGCTGCGCTGTCCTCCACCTTCTGCAGGACATCTGACATCTCCCTCGCTGTCAGCACCTGGAAGCTTCTCCTGTCACTTTGGGCGTCGCAGGTTTCGTTGGTTTTGGACAAGACGCGGGCCAGTTCCGCTGTCACGAGGCCCGACGCTACCAGGGGATGGGCCAGGTAGGGATCGGAGGAGGGAGGCAGACTCTCGGGCGGTTGGAACTTGACCGAACCCCTTTTTGTGTGTGATTTCGTATGAGATTCCAAAAGGTAGGAGCGCATATTCTGGGAGGTAATGCGATGCCGGTGCCGCTCCATAAAGTTAATCCACCAGGTTTGGCCTAGAACGGTCCTGGGTTGGTGCGGATTACGATAATTATAAATTGCCAGAGCGTTGGTTATGACCTGATGCTTTCTCTGAGGACATCCCTGACTGGCAGAGTACAAACAATACTCCAACAGCGAACTCTCGTCCTCAGAGGTGAGAAGCGGTTTTTGGCCGTGCACGCAGTCGACGGCTACGCGTCCAGAGAGTCGGTCCGCCAGGCTGGACTTTGGGACGCCAAACTTCCTGGCTGCCTTTCTTGCGGTTTGCCTGCCTTCCTTCACCTCCTGGACGGCACGAACCATGGCGTCCAGCGTCCATTTGACCTTTTTAGACCCTTTCTTCCTCAACTCCCGGATATTGGGCATCTGCGTGTTACAAGAAAAAAAAAAAAGGTAAAATTCATGCCATGCAAACATTCTGATGACTGATCATTTAATACACGAACCACTTTCTTTTCAAGTCAAGCTGCTCCAATGCAGACAGATATACACGTGAAGACATATTTACAAGACCACGTACCTTTCTTTACATTTGTCTTCTTCTTTTTTTGGTTCAGCCAATCTTCTCAATCATCGAACACGCAGCTTAAACACATTAAATCTGTTAATGATGATGTAGCATCTTGTTTTGTGAGACGGACATGTTAAACCAGAGTGCACAAAGATCATCGATGCTCACTATCGATGCAGGTTAATTATGAGGAGGGTCCAAACGCAGCAGGAAACTAACTAAGAAGACCAACTTAGGCACTTGTAGCTAAAGTAATAGCCGGCTAGCTAACGCTAAATACCGTTACATTTAAGCTGACACTGCTATCGAAAGCGACTTCAGCCGAGAGAGTACAGACACAGGACAGAAAGAATCAAGAAAGTACCTTTTTATTCAAGAAAGCCTAAATAAAACGCATGCAGTCGTTACTCACGGGGGAAGTGAACGTCAGCTAGTATCGTCAAACAAACGCTCTCTTCTACCAAGGCGCATCTTATCATATTAGGCGCGTACAACGTGGATTCATTGATTCTACGCGTTACACCCGTGTTCGTTGGTGTCTCGTGCAGACCGGATGTGTCCGATTTAGGATTTAGAACAGGGAGGATGGTGGCCGGAACAGGACAAAATCTTATTAAAACTATAACGTTAAATACTTTCTAGGCAATCTGAAAAGATTCATGACTCAAACATCACATATTTATTACATTGCATCTTCTTCGTGTATTATTGTATTATGTTTTATCTATTTAATTACTTTACACGTTCATATAACTTTCATTGTCATGTTCCTGTTTCATTTGTTTTTTAATATTTGCAAAACAGTTTGTAGCCCATTTAGGAGGAGGAAAACGTCTTTATTGATTTTCTTTTGTAGAGGAAGTATGCATTATATTATTATAATATTACCAATTATATATTTGATATTATCTTTACTTTGATATTTTTATCAAATAGAACAATTAAACTTGCCAACAGTACTTAGACTTATAGTGTTCTCACAGCCATACATTGATGACAGAATACAGTCAAATAAAATACTATACAAACATGTAAAAAAGATTACTTGTACTTATAATGCCACTTATCTATAGCAAATTGTAAATTGGCTTATTTGAGGAAATCGCACTTTCTTGTTTATTCTTCTGATTTTCTATTCCTATGGTTGAATGCACTTATTGTAAGTCGCTTTGGAAAAAAGCGTCAGCTAAATGACATGTAATGTAATGTAATGATACTTGTTGGAGCCATTCTGAATACGGGAATGGGATGGCGCTGTTTTTGCCACCAGCCAATTTAACGCCAAGGCTAATTAGTGCAGGTGTGGCGCACAGCGAGGCAGATAACTTTTGACCGTGAGGCACGGCGGATTGGGAACCGAATTGTTTGTTATTTTTGTTATAAATAAATGGATTGACATATCCGATGTTAAGTTCAGAAGTTTTTGAAAGTAAGTTATTTTTATTTTAAGACACAAACAATTCGCCGGAAAACACGAGTACAAAACAATTTAAATGTGCGCCAACAATACTTCATAACAAAGGCCGCTTCCTCTTTCGGTTGTCAAAGCAACGTAAACGTCACACGCAAATCAAGTCGGAATGTAAGCCAATGAAATGCGAAAGGGGGCGGGCGCTTGTTGTTGTGCCTGAACGTTCACTTCCTGCTTGACAGCGTGAAATCAATAAAGTGCAGGAACCGTCGATACAAGAAAGAGAGCAAGCTAAATATCTGGCAGCAAAGTAGGTCCTGAACAAATAATCCGACACTTTATTCACTTCACTTTCCAAAAGACTGTCTACTCTGCGTGTGAGTAAACCGAAGAGGAAATATGTTCATCTGAATTTAAACCGCACACCCTCAGCAGGCTCACAAGACCGCGGCATGTGACACCTATTAGAGATCTTTGGTTCTGCCGGACCGCCCGGGATTTAGTTTTGGTCGTTTTATTTAGTTGGAATATTTCACAATCCTACTTCTTTTTTCCCCACGTGTTTTTATTACTGTTATGTGAGCTGACCGATAACCAACTGGCCATTTTCTCGTGATCTCTAGTTCTAATAAGCCTTCTTTGGTTGTAGGTGTCTTGCTGGATGGGAGCCTTGCTCCAAGACACAGACTAAACATGGTGCATGTCTACAACTGCCATCCGTTCTCCTCACAGCAGATAGTGCAGGTAGGTGGACGATGTCTTATGCTTGTTGATAAAAGTAAGAAGTTGTGTCTGTATCAGATGTTGAATCATCTTCTGTGTCTCAGGTGGAGCAGGAGCCCGGACTCATCTGCTGCGGAGGTGGAGCCCTGTTCGTGGTGGCTACTGGAGGATGCAAGGTGTCCTTACAAAATATGCATATTTCTTTTATAACAAGGTCATGTTTTTATTTACTTGTGTGAAAATGAAAACTATTCTTCATTGGTAGAAGCAAGGATGCATTATTTAATGATTCAGTAATGATTTAAGAAGCTGGTATTTAACCATCTGCTCAGGATCAGCGTAACCTCATAAAGTAATGCGAATGGTTGTGCGAATCATTTTGAGTCACACAAGAGAAAGCATGTTTTCTGCAGGGGTACTGACCATGTTGTGCTTTGAATTAAGGTGGAGGCCTATAATTTGGAGAAGGAGGGCTGCCCTCTTATCTGTCGCTTCGCCACCATGGGCACGGTGAAGAGCATTCAGCACAGCCGGATGGGTAAATAAAACACCACCTCTCCTCCTTTAGTCATCCTCCCTCTCCGCAGCAGGAGCTGTACAAGAATGTTGGAGTGTATTCATCGCGAGAAAGAAGTCTTACACAGTTCCTTGCCTTTCCAATTCGCTTGTGACATCCAGGAGATTACCTGGTGACCATTGAGGAAAAGAACTGCGCCACCTATCTGAGAGCATACACCAACTGGCGCTACCAGGTGGGCACTTGATGTTGCAGTACTATGAAATGGATCAACACCGTCATGTTTTTCTTTTTCTATGATATGATGCGCTACCTTCATTCAAATAAGAGTCTGCATATCTAGCGCAATATACATCTGCATGTGCTTTTATCCACTTGTTTTTTGCTTTGTATTCAGGCGGAGGGGAAGGCCCGTGTCGGGGTGCGTTTGTTGGGCCACCTGCTGCGCGGGGCGTCTGTGCGGGGCGGAGCGCAGATGGAGATCATTGAGATCCCCCTGTCAGAGCGCCCTGTCACCGTGGCGTGTTGCCCAGTAACAGGAGACCTTCTGGTCGGCTGCGAGAACACTCTAGTTCTGTTTACCTTGAGGAGACAGAACCAGCAGAGCCAGGTGAGAGTCCACCTGCTAGTCTGGGAGTTCATCTCCTCCATGGACCTTATTTAAATTGTTAATTCCAAGACTGAGATAAGGTGGCATTTTAACTTCCTTATTGTCATGTAACACAACTCAGAGGAATCCTTCTAAAGTGGGAACCAATGTGATATAAAGAGAGTGGGCAGTTCACAGCATGGCCAACACATTTTCTTGATGGTTCTATTGGTTAGAGTATATGTTCAGACCTGTCACAGAAGGGAATTGAACATTTTACACAATATTAAAATTAAATTTAGTCTTCAAGCTTGCAAAAGGTATTACAAAATCAATCATATGTCCCATTTTATCATCCGGTTTATCTCTTATAACTACTTTATTTGAAATTCAATTGTTGCACATATCATATTGACACAGCAAACACTGCAATAGCTTAATGGATCTTTCTCTGGAAAACCCAACAGAATCAAAGTCAGCAGATGGTTCAGAGCACCTGGACAAACTCTCAGCAGAGTTCCAGTCAGAGTCAAGGTAACTCAACCGAAGAAGCACATATACCTCTCAATAATGTTACATACCATTCTCACAGATAATTGTAGTTCATCAATTTGTATTTCTGGTTTGTGACAGGAATACGACGCCTCTATGTGGTGATGACCTGCTGTCTCCTGTTAACGAGAAGATCTGTCCTCTTTGTTTTCAGGTCAGATTATGGATTCGAACCCTAATTTCCTGGATTTTGAACGCTCTGTTATCCTGCATCTTTCACAAATGAAGCCTAAACAGGTACTTTTTTCCTATTCGTTATGTTTACTCTTCATTTGAATATATTATTATGCTTACAGTTTTACTAATAAATAATTGCTATACTAACTGTTTTTTTCTTCCTTTTTTAGTATGTACTTAAAAAAATATCAAGCCTATATCCACTTCATCCTTTTGGTTCTCATTTATTTTGATGATGTTATGTTAGGTTTCTTGATGATATCGCAAACATAAGACTTATTTACTTTTGTTCAGGTATTTCAGAAACTCTCCCTCCTCTGACCCCTAGGTGGCGCTGTGTGGAGAGTATGTTGCAGTGCAGGGGGAACTGGAAGTGCTGGTCGTAAAACTGGAGACGTCCTCTGACCCTAAAACCCTGGAGGAATCGGACACAAAGAAAAGTGTGTGTTTTCTGCCCTCTTGTCATTAATCTCTGTCTCTTGGTTTAGCTGACTGTAAGAAAACACACTATGTTTGTTGCGCATCCAGAAAATCATAATCAAATATAGTTTAAATATAATAAAGGTCAAACTGTTTATTGGGAAAAATGTTTTGACTTTTGTGTGGCTTAACGTGTATTTATGTGCAGCAGATCATCTGGAAGATCATGTTGACTTTCAGATCCTTCCGATACACCAAGAGTTGCTTGGTGATCGAGCTAAAGACTGTGACATCGCTGTCAGCATAGAGAAGACCGGCCTGGAGGACAGTAAAGGACAATACACGCTGTCATATGTTCTCTTCAGGTGTGTGTGTGTTTTTCTAAAGAACATTTAGACCCTCAGATCTCTACAGAGCATATTCTTGTGAGTTTTACTCACCTTCTGCTTCATCTCTTGCAGGCGTTTTACTCCAGACTTCTTCCAGGGCTGCAGTGTGGAGGAGACGCAACTCCACTCCCTTCAACTCTACCCGCTGTTCACCGGTCAGTCCTCCCATCCAGCAAGACGTACTGATATGGGTGTCGGGACATTAAAAAGCAAATATTGTATTTGGGGTTACTTCTCAACTTCCATGTTTGTCAGAACAATTTTAATGGACTTTCCTTATTTTCTGAATAGCGCAACAAAAAACATCATGAAATGAGACAAATTTAGGCTTTTTTTTCCACATAGTTTGTCAGTGAAACAACAAATAACTGTGTACATGTATTGCATAATATAATATATAACACTGTTTCTGTGTTTCTCTGTCTCACTCGCTCCAGGGAATCAGTCCATGTCCCTGCAAGAACCATCATGCGTATTCTGCTTCTTCTCTCTCCCCTCCGCCGGCTACCTGTACAGTCTGAAGGGTGGCGTTGAGCTTCTCTCGGCCTATCAGTATCCAGAGAAGGTCCTGAAGGCGGTGCTGACAGACTACCTGTTGCACGTCATTACAAAGTACGTCCAGCTGGTAAAAAAAACATCCATGTATTAAACTCGAGACTGTTGAACCTCATTCAAGACCATATTCTCACCTCAACTTTCTCTTATCTCAGATTACTGGCGTGAACACAATGAATGCTCCCAGTGTGCAAATGAGCAGATAGAAATAGTAGATGGTTGCAAATGAGCATAATT